AAAAAATCAGTTTGGTTTCAGACCTGGCATAGGTACCGAAGAGGCTCTTTATAGTGCCACTAGCTTTATTTATAATGCACTAGATAAGGGAAATAAAACTTTGGCAATTTTTCTAGATCTTGCTAAAGCGTTCGACATGGTAAACCATAAAGAATTAATTAGAATTCTACCTAGTTTTGGTATAAAAACGAGTAGTATAAAATGGTTTACAAGTTATTTATCTAAAAGAAATCAAATTGTTATGATAAATGATGTTTTAAGTGAGGAAAGGGAAATAATCTGTGGAGTACCTCAAGGCAGTGTACTTGGTCCCATCTTTTTTATACTATACATAAATAGTATATGTAATCTAAAAATTGATGGGAAAATAATTACATATGCAGACGATACATGTTTGCTTTTTTCTGGTCCCAATTGGAATTCAGTACACCTAAAATCTGAAAATGAATTGACAAAAGTTGTAAATCATTTAAGCTCAAAGAAACTATTATTAAATATAAAAAAAAACAATTTTTATGACTTTTACTATAAACAAAGAAAATGTACCTTTCGATAAAATCACTGTCCATTATTGTAAAAATAAGGAGCAATGTAATGATAATATTTGTAAAACAATTTCAAAAGTACCTTTCACACGATACCTGGGAATTACCTATGATGAAAATTTAAGGTGGAATGTACATATTGATAACATAGTTAAGCGTTTAAGAATATCAGTATATAAATTCTGTAAACTTAAAGACATTTTTCCTATTAACATTATAAGTAATATATATTTATCATTATACCAAGCAGTTTTCCAATATGGCATTCTAGTATGGGGAGGTCTTACCCAAAAAGCTATTAAACCACTACAACTGCATCAAAATAAAATTATTAGGATATGTTTAAATAAATACAGTTTAGAAGGATCTACGTCTCAAAATTATAAAGATTTCAAAGTTTTGCCTATTAATTCACTGTATAAGAAATTTGCAATTATGTGGGTAGTTAAAAATATGGAAAATTGGTATAATATAGATAAATCTATTCAAACTAGGGAAAACAGGGCATATGATGCAAAAATTAATTATACAATTACTTCTTTTGGTCAAAAATTTGTGGATTATCTTGGTCCAAAATTTTATAACTCTTTAGATTTAGATTTAAAAAAAATAATAATCAATAAACCAAAATATGCAAAAAATATTATAAAAAATTGGTCTATGTTAAACATTGAATAAAATGTATATCATTATATTATAAATAAAATATTATATAACATCTTTGCTTCATATCAACTATTATATTTTGTTCTAATCTAAATTTAATTTCTTGTATAATTTTTATATTAATTTTTGTATAACTTGTATAAATTGTATATAACTACTAAACATGTTTATCCTGTTATCATAAGCAACCTGTATAATATATAAGTAATATTAACTCCCTACTTTCATCACAAGCAATGCTTAAAGAAGGTAGGTATAAATTTAAGATATATTGTATTGTATTTATATGTGTACAATTAATCTTTTATTTAAATTCAAAAAAAAAAAATAAAAAAAAAAATATTCTTAAGAAATATTTTATATTATAATTTTTACTTCAGAGGAATTGCATCTTTCTGGAGTGAGCAAACTACAGCTATATTTAAAATAATGATACCTGTATCAAAATTCATTGGTTTAGGATTAAATCCTGTTTGAGCTTGAAGCTGCCACAAATGTCTAAAATGAATATTTTTCGGAAATCTATGTAAAGTTGGTGGTTTTTGTTTTTCCTACTGCCACTCAAACAATTTCAAATTCGCAAACAGGTATTTTTGGAACATAAGTTTAAAAAAAAATATTCAAGCTCGACTGTTTTAGGTAAGAAAGAATAGGAAAAAAATAGTAGGATATTAATGCAAATATAAAAAAAAACACAATTTGAAATACCTATTATCTATTTGTATTATATTATTGTTATAAATAATATAAAATAATAGATTTATTACAGTAATCAAAATTCAAATTAATTATTAAATTGAATTAATAATAATTAAAATAACACTGTTACTCATGATAAAAATAAATTTACTAATTGTAATTTAAATTTTACTTTATCCACGCATGCTGTAACCTATAAAAAAAAATTCGAAATAATAAATCATAGTCAAATATAGGATCTTTATAATATATATATATATATATATATAATTATATCTCATGATACGTCTAAGCACGGTCTTAGAATTTATATATAATTCATAGTATCTAAGTAATAAATCATAATACTTGTTATCAATTTTATCAACAACCAATTAAATGCTGAGAACTACGAGTACATAGAAAGTATTAAAAGTAATGGGAATGCGCGCTGCAAACCAATTTACGCATTTTGCTGACATACCTATTTATTTTATCATCGTGTGTATGTAGTAAATGATCATTAGTGTTAGTGATGGTGTAGCGGCGTCTGGCGGGGTCCAGCGATAACGACTACAAATTCCGAGTACTCGAACACAAATAATAATTTCAGATTACGGCTCGACCGATTTGAATGACTTTTTTTGTATTTTTGGTAGGTATGAGAATACTTACTTTTCACCTATTTACCCCCACCGCCGTTTTTAATCATAATTTTATTATTTTTGTATGAAATCACGCAGTAATGAGTAATACTGTACCACTTACCTATAATAACGAATTTAGTAACCAATATTAACGAAAATAATAACTGGCAAACTGGGTAGTTATATATTATATTATATATTATAATTAGTAATCATTTTTACACAAATCCAAACAATAAAATTACTAAAAATAACGCCAGTACGCACCTGGTTAAATGTTTATTGGTAGCCCAATTCTTATTGGAAGTCCTCGATCAAACCGAGAATCAATAAGTCCCGGAAGTAAATAATCCATATAAAATTTCTGTAACTGTGGCTCGATTTTTCTCCAGAAATTATTATCCTTGTGGATCTTATCAATTACAATCCCTATACTAAAATAAGAATTGATTAAATATAGATAAAATATAATACTTATAATCAATAATTAACAAAATAATTAATCAAAACCATTACCTTTGGGTGTCCACACAACAAAGTAACAGTACTGTCTTTCTGATATTTCCAATTGTCTTTGCACTTGAAAATAATAATCATGACTGTTTTTCAATTTCAAATTGCCATTTTTTAAATATATGCAATTTAATTTTTTATTTTCAAAAGCTTCCTCGGGTGTCATATATTTTAAGGATGTTGGTCATTTAATCTCAACAATTCTTTCGTCATCAATTGAACCGTCAGGGCTAGCTGCCAAAAATGTTAAATTTTTATTTATAAAAAAACCACAAGGCAATATATATATGAATATTTACGCCTAGTTTAATTTCTTAACAATTCTTTGCTATCGGCTCATTTTGTATTCCATTCCTAAATAAAAAATATATAAATTAGTAATTATTTAGGAGTAAATTAAAATTTAATTATATATAATACTTAACCTAGTACATTTAATAAAAATTAAAAATAAATAACCTTGTGGCAGCATTGCCTCGAAATAGTTCATACAATATATACTTGATAGTGTTAGCCCGAGAGATAGTAGCTCTAAATTTTGCAACCTTTCCAAAATTTGAGGCAGTCAGACGCATCTTACGTTGTCTTCGCCATTCGTCACAACTAGGGATGTCCAAATATTATCGACAATATCGAAATAAAGATATTTCAGGTTCAAAATATCGATATTTTATATCGATATATTTAATACGATATATCGGTTACATCGATATTTTTATTCTGGATATCGATTACATTTTTCCGTATTTTTATTCAAAAAATTATATTTATATTTTGTATACACATAAAGCACACGTTGTTCCCCCAGAATTTAAATAATATGTGTGTGGAATGTGGATTAACCATAGACATAAAAATATATACATATAATAATATTATTAAGTCTATGGAATTAACGATAGTGAATGAACGGAAAAACCAAAAAAAATAGTAATGACCATTGTTAATTTTAGAACTTGAACAACAATAATATATTGTTATACACTTATACTCCGGCCCAGGAGAGAGTACTTCTCGCTCGCGCATGGCTACTAGCATTTCGGTTTCTACAAAAGTTTTTTCGTCGTCTCGTCTAATCTAATTACTTAAATAATTAAAATGGCTGTTAATATTACTAAAAATCAGTTGTTAGTTTTTTTCATAAAAATCGATTCATATAATTACAAATGTAAAACGTGTAATAAAGTTTATAAAACACCAAATGGAGGTATTGGAAATCTTAGAACACATTATTTGACACATTTAAAAGATCCTTCTGACAAAGTGGTTTTGGGTAAAAGAAAATTGCAAACCATTTTGTTGCCGACACTACCAAATACAGAGACATTTGAAACTGATCCCGATGAGCCTCAAACTGTAGCTATTATTTCTGTAAGTATTTGCACTATACCAATGCATAAAATGTATTTTATGCACCTACTAGTGTAAACATAGGTACATATTATATTTTGGACAATAAATTATTATTTTTTTTAAGGAACCTAGTGACACATTTCCCAGTCATTTAAAAGTACAGCAAACATTACCTAACATGATAATGAATATTAAATCTACAGAAAGTAAGTGAACATAATTTTTGTTTAAATATTGATATATTATTGAGAGCATAATAAATTATTCACTATTCGTTGACATTAATATACCTAGCTTTGATTTAATTTAATGCAATGTTTTTTTTTTTTTTTAATAATATTTTATAGATGGTACCAAAGCGGAAAAAATTACTAATGCCATTACATACTACATTTTTAAAGATAATGTACCATTTAAAACTGTAGAAAGTGATGGTTTTAAATATCTGATGCAAACAGCATGTCCATTATATAAAATTCCTAGTAGAAACACATTTAGAAGAAGAGTAGATGACATTTATGATGTCATTTCTTGTAAATTCAAAGAATCTCTGTCTAAAGTTCAACATGTAGCTGTTACGACAGATGCATGGACGGAAATGATGCAAGTGAAGAGCTTCCTTGGGATAACTTTGCATCTAATCCATGACACCAAACTTGAATCAAGTTCGTATAATACTTTGTTAAAACTACTTTATTTTATGAATTGTTGTTGTAAAGAAATAAGAATACTTTTAAATTACTTATATAAACAGGTCAGGTGAATTATATACAATATATAAGAATTATTGAAATTAAAAACCTTATTTGTTAATAAGTAAATGCTAATCTAATTAAGTTAATTTATAGGAACTAAACCAAAGTCATACTGCAGAGTACATAGGAAGGATTTTGGTTAACACATTGGCTGACTGGGGATTGAAAAAAACCAATGTTGTTGCGGTTGTTACTGATAGTGGTGCTAATATAAAAAAAGCTATTATAGACCAGTACACAGCCGATAAACATGTACCTTGTGTTGCTCACACAATGTATCTAGTAGTTGTAAAAGGAATTGAGAAAACACAAGAAATTGACAAAGAAACCAAAGTTAAATCTGGTGGTGTTCCAGTCTTGGTATCCAAAGTTAGAGAATAGTCAAATTTGTAAAGAGAAGCTCAAAAGTTAGTGACTTATTGAGAAAGTATCAAAATATTGAAGGTAAGTACCTAAATAAACTATATTTGCAATTGTTATAATGACACCTAATTACTATGCATTAATTTTTAGGTAAGAAAGAGGGCAGTATTTAAAACTCATTTTAGACATCAGAACACGATGGAATAGTATGTATTACATGATTGAAAGATTTTTAAAACTAACCAACAACATATCACAAATGCTTCTCACTCTTAATGGTAAAGATATACCAGAAATGATATCTGGCCATGATATAAGATGTCTACATGAGATTTGTTTATTGCTGAGACCATTTGAAGTACTTACTAAAGAACTTTCCACAGACAAAACGGTTATGTCAAGTAAAGTAATCCCATTAATATTAGGTACTAGAAATGAATTGGAGAAGAAAATCCCGAATGTAGCTGTCGCAATACGTTTGAAATTAAAACTAATCGAAGAACTTGACTATAGATGTAGAGCTTATGAGCAAACATCCATATTACCAATTTGCACAATGTTGGATCCTCGATTTAAGGATATACATTTTAAAAATCCACTTGCAAATTCTAAGGCCCAAGAAAGCATAGTTCAAATGATGAACAATGATAATGATATTGTAGAAAATGAAACATTGTCAACTGCAGAACCAGATTGTAGCAACACAGACAAACATTGTGATTTATGGGGCCATCACAAATCATTAGAAAAAAAGCGAAATGATAGAGCTTGTAATAATACTCCTAGAGGAGAATTAAATTCTTACTTACACTATAAAATTTTAAAATTGGATCTTGACCCATTGATCGAATGGGAAAATACAAAAACAATTTTTCCAAAATTATATAAACTAGCGATGAAGTATTTAGTGGTTCCTGGAACATCAGTACGTACCATCTGAACGCCTTTTTAGTAAGGCTGGAGAAACTATTAGCAAGACAAGAAACCGATTAACTGGTTCCAGGGTATCAAAACTACTTTTTTTACAATCTGTGGACAAAAGTCAATGGAATTTTTGAAATAATTCATTGTGATTGTTATTCATTATTTTTTAACCAATAGTATTTAAGTAAGTTATTTAATTGTTCACTATTAACATATTATAACAAAAATGTATTATATTAATTTATGATGATTATTATGAGTTATGACCATTTTCAGTTTAATAAGTTAAAGTTTGTTATACGTAAAGTCACGTTGAAATTCACGTTAAAACTGAAACGCGGTTATTGACGCGTGCCATCTATCGCTTTATATTATAGATTTAAATGGCATAATGATTTTTATTATTTTCGATAAACACAATCTCATAGATATGACAAAATTCGATTAAATTAGTCGTTATTAAATACATATGTGTATATTCTAACGCTATGATAAAATAAAATTGCCCACATAAACCGAACCGAGTGCCCATATTACGCGGTTAGATTTAACATTGTTAATATACATTTGTATTGGTACCAGACCTGTTTGCCCACAATAAGCGGATTCCACTGTATTTCAATGCATTCTTGACCAATTGCAAACTAGTTTAACTCTTTGCGGCACGTGTTTTTCAGATTTTTCTACCCGGTTGTTGCACAACCTATTAAATTTTACTTTAACTGTCATAGCTTTTAATGTAATTTCTTTTAAATCCATTACATACAATTATTATAAAGTAAAAATATATATATATAAATTGAATGATGTGTTAACTATAGGTGGAATCACATGTATCCCACCGTGTACTTTGAGAGGTTATTTTATGAGTATGTATAGAATTGAATTTAGAATTTCAAATTTTTTTTTATTTATAATTACAGCAAGTTATAAATGTTATTATAAACCATTTTATTTCTTATATAAGTTATGTGGGTTATAACTAAGAATAGTATTATTAAATAAAGAAGTAACAAATTTTAATTTCGTACAACAAAAAAAAATCTTACAAACAATTAAAAATTAAATTAATTACTTTTGTGAAAATTAAAAAAAAATTATACAACTTACACTAATTATTTATGGTAATCAGTAAAACAGTTTTTGTTTGTATTTAAACATAAAGATATGTTAGACACTGAGCATATCCATTCAGTTCTTATTGGCTGGTGTGCAGATTGATCGAGTCTAATATTTTTTGGAACAAACGACTTATTTTTTTTGAGTTGAATTAGAGGTGATTCTGAAGTTTGTTTCATCTTTCGACGTTTTTCTAACATTTTTTTTCTTACTAATTCTGATGAAATTTCTCAGCGAAAGTTTCGAGTTTTCCGAATACTTGAAGACGGTTTTACAGGATTTGGCAATATGTACGTAATATTATCATTTAGATTTAAAATTTCTACATTACTTCCTACCTCACAATTCAACGAATCACTTGATTATTCTTCAACTATAAAATTTGCGTTTTTAATTTTAGGAGTATAGTCTTCGTCTTCATCTGTATCATCGATTGAAGTAAGGTTATCGTCATCTGAAGGTATACTTTCAAACAATACATCACATATTTCACGGTCGTTTATTTTCATGTTGATTGCTTAATAATTAAATAACATAGTATAGTTAAAAAGTTAGTAAGTAATTAAAAACAACGAAGAAATAATATAAGACACGCGAGTGTACTACACGAATGATATTCACTATAACTACTATACTAACAAGAAATGACTGTTGTCAGTACCGCACGGTGGGTTATTTATTGGACGGTCACATTTATCAATATTACACAGGTCCCAGAAATACGAATTAATTTATTTTGATATCATAATAATGTTCACTAATATTTACGTCGAACGAAAAAAAAAAAATGAACAAATCGGTTGACCAAATACTGAGTAATACAAAATAGAAATAATTATAGTGAACTGATCACGTGGACAAAAATAAGGACAGAAGAAATTCGTAATAAACTCGCACAAATTACCCATAATTTGTTTATTTTTATATCAAGGCCATAAGAATGTGCAACAATATTAATGTCAAGTTATCAATGGAAGAAATATTTGATCGGGAAAAAAATAAAAATAAAAGAAAAGGTGGGTTATTTTTCGTACCACCGTGAAGAAATGCTTATTTTTTTGGTGTCCCACCATGCCGCAAAGAGTTAAATGACAGATTTGTCAATAATAAATATATTATTGCTGATATGCAATATCTATTACTGTTCACGTTGCGAACACTTATTATTTATGTTATCATTTTCGTGCGATGCATAGCGGTGCGTTGCGTACCTGCGGCCGTTGCCGTCAGCGGCGATAAGCCTCCGTGTGCGACCGGCATAGACATATTATGATATGGACTGCTCCTCCCCCACACCCTGCCA